CATCCCAGACATCACACACATTATTTCCATCGTGCCAGCTGTCTGCGTGAGTAGGCAACTAACCGTCGGTTTTTTGTCGCAGTGCCGCACATGGCGCTCTGGAAAGTGTCGGGCGGATCACTCTCGTCGCAGCAGCAACCGACTTCTGTGGTTGTAGGGGTGGTGAGGCTTGCGAGGTCACAGCAGCATCTGTCATTATTGTCGACCGTCACGAGGTTGGCGTAGTCATACTGCATACAACACAATCAGCTCTGCCTCCATCGTGCCCTGCGTCTGCTCGTGCGAACCGTGTGATAATCGCAGACATCTTTGAATGTAGCGCACTCCATGTCGCCGTTAGCCAGTTTGGTGCATCCCTCCGCTGTCGCATCTGAAGCCGAGACAAAAGTGTACACATACAGAAATACACACATTCACTTCTGTGCCACGCCGTGTACTGATGGCAGATACCCTGCATTGTGGGGCATTGTGGGGTGAGGAGTGGGTGGTCGGGGAGAGAAAAACAGCCACACACAACATCACATGGCATACAGGCAATTCAACCAACATCACAGCCTCTGTCCGGTCTGCTCACTCACTCACCGTGGACTTCCGTTTGGCGTGCGTGACGTCGCCGGCGATTCTCGCCAGGCCGGCCAACTCCTCGCTGCCTTTGCTCGTGCCGTCTCTGCGTCTAGAGGACACGCTACTGCAAGCAACCAGCAGCCATTTATTTGTCCGTCCATCAATCCAAACCACAGACACATTTCCCTCGTGCTGGCTGGCTGGCTGGCTGCATGTTTTGCCCTTGATTTGTTGCTTACCACTGTCCACACTCGGCGACGAAGCTGGCGCTCGACGCACTCTCGCAGCAGCAACCGAATATGGTGCCAACGGGGGGAGCATAGCAACAGGATTCATCATAGTGGGGAATGGAGCTATACTGCACGCGCACAAGACATTCAGCTGTCCTTCCATCGTGCCGTGTGGCTGGCTGGTCGTACGAACCCCCATGTGATCGCAGACATCTTGAAAGGTGTCACATGCGAGCGAGTTGTCACTTAGTTGTCCAGTACAGCCCTCCACTGTCGCATCTGAAGCCGAGAGGAACACACGTACATTAACGCACTCATCCATGTATGTGCCACTCTATGTGAATTGATGGCCAATACCCTGCATTGTCGGGTGAACAGTGGGTGGTCCGCGGAGAGGAAAGCAGCCACACATCGCATCACATAACACCACTTGCAGACCATTCGATCAAAATACCAGCATCAGCTCTGTCTGGTCTGCCCTCACTCACTCACTCACCTCGGCTTTTCGTTTCGCGTGCGTGACGCCGCTCGTCACTCCCTCGAAGATCGGAGCCACGACGATGGGCTCTTCCTGACTGATATCAGAGCTAGGGCCAGCCATAGGTCGCGATCCGTCTCCTGCACCACTCAAACAGCAAGCACAGACATAGACAGAGAGTCGTCTGTCCGTGTTCATACGTACCATCAGCTGCACGCAAGAAGGTGCCACGGTCTTTCTCGGCCCGAGCGAGCAAATTCTGGAGGTCAGCCAACAGCTCCTGGAGCACCTGCGGGTCGCCGGCATCGAGGCCATTGCCACCGCACACTGGGCTGAGGCCGCCGAAGACAAGCAGGCAGCAAACGAAGGACAGAGAGAGCGCAACGCGGGCCATTGTCGATTCAGGGCCAATGCGGGGGAGTGGCTCGGTGATTTTTCGTTGGGTTTCCCTCCGTGCGTTAACTAGTTCGTTAGCGGCCTACCCTTCCGCAACGGGAAGGATCGCAGGAGCGACGTTAACGATTCAGCGTGAGAGTTCGGTCTGCGCAGAAAGGAACAAGGGCATCCACACCCGGTCGGATGACAGGAGAGAGAGCAGCGGAGGGACACTGGAAATTTACGTTTACCTGTACCTTAAGTCAGAGTCTGCCAAGAATGAGATCGCAAGAGCCTACTGGCTGAGCATGGAAACGGATCCAGGGCAGCTGACCGCAGCGCTATTACTCTCGCAAGATGCGGTGATACACAATAGACACAATCGGAAGAAGGAAGCAAGTTCCACGAGATTTTCGCGCGAGACGCGACAACCCCACAAACCCTAATTTACTCGAGAAGTTTTCCTGCATTTTTCTCCCCGTTCGGGTTTCGCGATCAATCGAATCTTGGTTTGCGGTTTCCCGCAAAAAACGCATTCCAGAGATAGGGGGTGAACGAATCCACGGCAGACACTTTCAGCACACGAGCCGGCCTTTCTCCTCATCACAGGAATGGCGGCGTTCAATGGCGGGCGTACACATGCTGCCTACTCCCACCCTGCCTGCAGCGTCGAAGTGGAGGGTGCCGGTCCGGTCGTCAAGTGATAATGTCCCCCACACCGAGGATCGCCAAGGCGCCGCAGAGATGCTGAGAGAGCTGCTCGAACTGCGCTACCTAATCAGAGGTGAGCTGAGCGCCACAGAGACGAGCTCAGACTGGATCGCATCTGTCTGTACCGTGTTGTGTGTAGGTATGGGGAGGAGCGGATAGGGGACAGGCTGATGGATCACTTCAACCTGGAATGGTGGGTGGAAATCACACTCGCCATTCACTTTCCATATATGATGTGACATCGATGCATCCATCCATCCATCCATCCGCCCACGCAGACAGGCGGCCAACCCACCGGAGAGAAAGCCGAGGAGAAACTCAAGGCAAGCCAGCAGAAACACGGAGGGAGAGATCGAGCCCCCGTCCATGATTGTTTCTGTGTGTCGACGAATCAATCAGAAATGGCACGTGTTCATGGCCGCCTATCGGCGCCTGCTCACCGTCAAGACAAACGAGACGACGAAGTCACTCCGACGGGTTGCCGTTGCTGGTGGACACCTAGTCGGCATGGTGCGTACTGACAAACACAGTGATGGCGTGTATGTCAGTCATCTGTGTATCATCTATGCAGTTTCTCTCGTGTGGGAGCGGCGGTCACGTGCATGTGGCCACCAAGCTGACAGATACACCGAGTAAGCAAACCACATGCATGTGTGGGTGGGGTGCGCAAGTGCATCTGGCCTAAATGGTGTTCGTGTGTTCCTGTGTGTGTGCAGCCGACCTGGTGGCTGCCAAGATCACTCACGTCAGGCCAGAAACCCGTGAGTCGATACCATGCCCACAAAGAGCACACACCGGCCGCCCTCCCACCTCTGTGTGTGTGGTGTGTCTGCAGAAAGCCAAGCCATTCAACAGTGGAACGAGGAAGTCGGCTACTGGTCGCCTCTCAAACACGACAACATCGTCAGGTGGGTGCACACAACACTCGCACACACACACACGCAGTCGATTTCACATATTACACAAGCAGGCAACCCTTTCTTGGATGTGTTTGCAGGCTGCCCACGTGTCGAAACATCCAGCAGCCCCGTCAAACTGACCACCTCAAGCGCCACCGAGGCCATGACGCAGACCGAGGGGTGCACACAGATACTCGTCACACCTTCATGGAATACTCGAGTGAGGGCGACCTCATCAAGTTCGTCAGGTACATATACACATACTCACACGCATGTGCATGTCTGATCGGTTGTTTGACCGTGTGTGTATCACAAGGACTGCGGGACACTGCTTCCTTCTTTCCAGAAACATTTCCTTGCGATGGTGAAGGGGCTTTTGCACATTACAATCAGGTCGGCTATATTCACACATGCATACGCACACAGTGAGAGAGAGGGCGCCTCTCATAGTTTTCTCTGTCTATGTGTGTGTCGGCTGTGCAGGAGGACACGCCAGAACAGGTACACACACACACACACACACACAGGGCACACATTCCTCGATTTGGCAACTATGGTTTCGTCACACCGACCACCAAGATGATCAACGCCATGTCAAGCCTGCTGCCCGACTGCAGATGGAACTCTACACAGGTTCGCCATCCACAACATCCTTACAGCCAGCCTTCCGCCCTGGCTTTTGTGCCACACAAGCTAATACGTACAGGCGCTGGACGTGCTGCTTTGCCGAGAGAAAGCCAAGAGTCTGCCACACCCGCCTCTGGCCATCCAGACCTGCCGGGGGTTCCCTGGCCACGATCCGATCCGATCGTGCAGAAGGTGAGCCCTCCCCCGCACTGCATGGGCAGCATGGCGACCCAATCCAGCCCATATCTGTCTCTCTTTGTGTGTCTCTGTCTTCCGCCTTTGCCCCCATGGTAAGGGTACACACTGAGGACGTATGTGAGTGACAGTGATGCCACACAACTGCCACCAACGATGCCCATGTCGACCCCCGACAGCACAACCGCCGCCATCTCTTCGTATCGCCCCCCCCCTCCCCGCCCAGTCCACCCGCAGGCTCTCTTCTCACGCCACCTGGGCCCCCGACGCCTCGTTTTTCCCCCACGGAGGAGGCAGCCCCACCACCGCCTCGGAGTCCTGATGAGAGCTTCGACTTCGGGGCGTGGATGGCCCGGCAAGAGGCCAACGTGCAGGGGCTGCGGGAGGCCATGAAGGAGTACTACTCAGACGACGGGAGTACTACTCAGACGACGACGAGGACGAAGACATGGATGAGCAGCAGCATGGGGAAGCCTCAGGCGAGACGTACGCCATGTCGGCAGCGGGGGAGCAGGGGCTGCCCTCCTCATCCAGGCAGCCCGAAGCACGTGACACGGCATCAGCATGGGGGCGTGTCACGTGAGAGGAGTGGGAGTCGTTTCTGAATCCGCCGGGGAGGCGGACACAGCAGGACTGGATCAATGGTGATGATGACAAGGATGGGAATGGGAACGGGAAGAGATGGCCCGGCAAGGGGCCAAGGTGGAGGGGCTGTGGGACGCGATGCAGGATTATACTAGCGGATACTCTGTGTTCCTGTGTGTACAAGTAACCGCTGTCTACATTTTATATCACAGTTAGTTTGTGTTTTGATTGAGCACGGAGTGTGTCAAATTGAGACGAGGCTCTTCCTTATGTAATGAACTGGAATCTCAACCGAATCTCTTCACTCACTGGTCGGTCTCCACCACACATTTGCTGCCTGTCGTTGCAACGAGTTCATTCACACACTCATCCATCCATTTATTCATTCACGCGACGACAGCTGCCATAGTGCTCTCTTGGTGCCGTCCCTCTTCCTCCGACACCAACCGCGCCTTGACCTGTTTGCACACACAGACGGACACTCATGAGGCGCGTGTGGACGTGTGTGCTGTCATCCATCCATCCGTCCACTGAGTGGTTACCTTTTGTATGGTTGTGTGGCTGAGTCTGCAGGCCTCTGCCGGCGTCTCGCCCGCCGCGGCGATGCAGTCGGCCGTCAGGACCAACTTGTGGTCACGCACCTCGACACGAGTCGACAGCTGCACACACACAAATGGCTGACGTGTGTGTGCGGTGCATTCCTTGCTTTGCTGGCTGACCCATTTGGTGGTGCCAGGTTTGAGGATTATGTGTCTGGCGAGCGGCTTGCCGTTGACTTGCAGGTCGTACTGACGCTCCCCTGCACACACAGACACACACACACACACACATGTGGACTCGTGTGGCGTGAGGTGACTGGCTGGCTGGCTGACCGTCGTCTGTCTTGCAGAGTGTGCCGATCTGCACGGCCACCTCATACACACCTGCACGTGTTGGGGGCCACACAACGATCGATGCATTGATCAACGTGTGTGTCATTCTGTGTGTGCGTACCATTGTGTGTGAGGTTGGCGTGCCACGAGTTGGGGTTGCAGTCCTCTTGGCCCGTGAAGCACAGCACACTGTCGGGCAAGGGCGGGAAGGCAATGCCCAGCGGCAGCCGCGTCATTGTCATGCTGTTGCCACCGTCAGAAAGCCCACACTTGGCGAGTCGGTCCTCTGCCGGCTCAGCCCACCCATACTCAGCACCCACCGAGGCCTCACAATACACACAAACATCCATCCATCCATCCATCCATGTGTGTGTGTGGATGGTCATTGTGTGTGGCTCTTTCGCTCACTTTGGCGCCGTTGTCCATTTTGTATGAGCGCGGCGGGACGACACTCGCCGATTGGAATGACACCGACACGTTGTACACAGACTGACACACAAACACACATTCATCAATACTCTCTCTGTGTGTGGGGGGGTCACTTACCGTTGTCGGTTTCTTGTCGGGTTCCCTGGCCGACACCCTGACGACCTCGTGGGTCTCGTCCTCCTCGACGCACTGTGTGCCGAGCACGTCGAATGAGCCGCCCGTGATGGTCTGCGGGGCGTCCAACACGAGGCTGATGTTCACGGCCGCCGACACCACGGGATGGACGAGGGGCAGCTCGGTTGTTGTGGTCGACTGGGCGGCTGATGGGACGGCCAGCACCTCTGGCGGCACGTCGGTGAGGCCTGGGTAGTCGACGATGAGTTTGTGCGGCTGCTGTGGGCCGCTGGTGGGTGTGTACCGGATGGCTGTGGCAGTGACGGGCCTCTTAAAGCGCACCGACAGCCACGGGTGAGTGGTCTCCTTCCCGGCGGTGCGCCAGACGCCAAAGGCCGCGTCCTCGTGGACACCAGACACACCCGAGAGGGCACCGAACTCGGGAGCCAACTGACATGGACAGACACACACACACATTGATGGATGGATGGTCTGTGTGATGGTCTGTGTGTCGTGTGTGTGTGTCGTGTGTGTGTATACCACGCTGGATGCCGAGGCGCTCGCAAAGGCAGTGGCCGATCGACACACACACAGAGACAGAGAGAGCGATGTGGCAGAGTGTGGGTGTGTGTGTGTGTGTGTTGTGGTGTGCTGACATGTTGGTAGCGAGAGGACTTCGGTCGGTCCGCCGCAGAGCTTCTCCTTCTCACTCACACCCTGCTCTGCACACACACGATACACACATACAGAGAGAGATATATGTTTGTGTGTCGTGTGTTGGCCGTCAGTCATTTCTCGCACCGAATGCGATGAAGAAGGGCGTGGGGTTGTCCTTCGTCTGCTGGTCGGTGATCGGTTTGAGGCAGACAGTGCCGCCCTCGACCACACCAAAGTAATACACACCGTACAGAGCCGATGACGACGCCCTGCATGACACCGACACACACACTCGTCTACATCATATGATATGTGTGTGCCGCACCTCAACTCACTCACCGCTTTGCGCCGGGCTGTGTCTTGAGGACCGTCAACAGGTCGGGGTGACGATGCACGCGGACCAACTGACACACACCAGCACACACAGACACTTGCTCACCTGTTGGCTGTCTGTGTGTGTGTGTGTGACTTACGGGTTTGGTTGAGCACGGTTTGAGTGGGAGCTGTCTGTCTGCGGGGAAGGCGACATAGATGCGGGCGGCCGTCGACACGCTGACGTTGAAGGCACTCGGGTCCGGCAGTCTGCTGGTGCGCATCATCCGCTTGTGGACGAGCGAGTCGGGCAGGTCGGAAATGACAAACGAGGCCTCGCCCACGAAGGCGGAGACCCCGTTCTGCAGAGACGTCATCTCGAACCGACGCGAGTCGATACTACACACACACACACATAAGAGAGAGAGCATTCGCCGTGGCTGTGTGTGTGTGTGTGTTGTCCATCCATCGATCCACTTTGCTCACCCGGAGATTTTGAGTGCCGTTTGTGCGTCTGATTTGAAGAGTGCAGAGGGCGGGATGATGCTCTCGGGGACGGTCTCGCTCTGCCACCACAGCCGGACCACCGAATCCTCCGTGTGCTCAGCTGAAGCAACACACACGACACACACTCAGCCACACGCCGACGCATAATCACTGGAGGGCCCACTCAGTAAGTTACCGAGTAGGTGGTGTGTGTGGAAGGCCTCCAGTCGGATCTTGTACTTCTTGCCGCCGACGAGGTGCTGAGGTGAGGGTGTGCGTGTGAGCTGCGGGCCGTCCATGGGGTGGTCGGCGAGGATGTCGATGGGCTCGTCGCTCGTGGCCTCCTCGCGGCTCTCCGGCGAGGGCATACGGTCCACCAAGACGGCATTCTCGTTCAGAAAGAGTCGCGCCCCGCAGTCAGCACGAACAGAGAACGTGTAGAAACCTAAAAACACACACAGACAGACAGACAGACAGACAGAATGTGGTGTCGTCCCCCCTCTCTCCCCTCTCTTCCCTGTGTGTGTGTGGATGTGGATGGTTGCCTGTGTGCGGCGCCTTGACGTATCCATCCCATCTGACAGAGAAGTGCTCGGCGGCCACGCCATCGACGGGCGGTGTGGCGAACCACTGGAAGTCGATGTTGGGGTCGTCCCGGTAGACCGCCGGCCCGTCGAAGGCCGCTGCATTGTAGTAGGCCGCGCGAAGCCCGTCGGGCAATGCATCCTCTGTGTGTGTGTGTGTGGGCAAGGGACACACACAACAAACAGACACTCACTCACCGATCCATCTGATTTATGTGTGTGTGTGGTGTTGCCTTCATAGCCCTGTAGTCCTTCGCAGTTGTCTGGCTGCATGAGAAGCGTCTCCTCGTTGCGAGCGATGTCCGCCTTGGCTCTCTCGGTGGCCTCGGCGAGTGAGTCGATCTTGGCGGCGGCCTGGCTGATGTCGTTGAGGCAGTGGCGGCTCTTGCCGATGACGCCCTCGAGCCGGTCGACGCGGCCCAGCAGCGCATCGTGGGACGCACCACACAGACTGGCGTAGCGGTCCAACTCACCCTGACGGAGACAGACAGACAGACATGGGTGTGTCGTTTCGTTAGTTACGTGTGTGTGCTGGATGTGATGTCACAGCGCAGCGCACCTGGAGTCCTGCTGTCTCGTCGGTGAGTTTGTTGATCTGTGTGCGGGCGAGGTCGGCCTTGGTGGTCAGGGCGTCGCGCACAAACGACCGGACGGCGTCATAGTCAATGCGAGGCGCGCAATACGCCCTGAAACATTCATTTATCAGAGACACACACACTGATTTGATGCGTGTGGTGTGGCTGTGATGGATGGGATGCTCACTCACCATGGCTGCTGGCCAGGCTGCTGGACTTGGGCCTCGACATAGCACCACTCTCTGCCTGTGTTCCACTCGGGCGTGGCCGTCGTCGTGCAGTCAGTGAAAATCTGACCCGACCGGACAAACGTCGCGGCGCACAAACGACCTGCACAAGTAAGCGCATCACACACAGATGGATGGATGGATGGAGTGATGTGTGTCTCGTTTGCTCATTTTTCTGACCGTCGATGGTCTTCCTGTGCTGCTGTCTGAACTGTATCAGCGCCTGAAGCGGCTCAC